CAGGTTTCTTACTCAAACCTCTATCCAACATAAGCTTGCGCTGTCCCTCTGCATCATTCCAATCCCCTTCCGATGCTAGCACATTTGCTAGCAATATGTACGTTGCAGGATCGTTAGGGCATAGTTCAACAAGCTTCTTGGCAGAAATCACGGCAAGTTCCTTGTTACCATGAAGTTGGCAAGCACTTAATAGGCTTTTAAAAACCGAAGGTCCTGGCTTTATTGGCATATTGTTAATAAAGGCCTCTGCTTCAAGCAGATGACCAGCGCGGCCATAAAGGTCGACTATGCAAGCATAATGCTCTAGCTTTGGTGGTGGTAGAGAATTGTCATTCTTCATCAAATCAAAATATTTAATCCCTTTGTCGAGCAGGCCAGCATGTCTACATGCTGAAAGTACAGTGAGGAATGTGGTTAGATCTGGTTTAATACCACATCTCCTCATTTCTTCAAACATGACCATCACATCCCTACCATAACCATGATGAGCACAGCCTGTAAGAAGCGAGTTCCACGATATGAGGTCTCTTTCCTCCATTGATGAGAATATTCTCTCAGCATCTTCAAGTTTACCACATCTTGTATACATGGAAAGAAGCCCGTTTTGTATGAAAACTTCAAAAGTATATCCTGTTTTCAGAGCTAGACAATGGGTCTGCATTCCCTCCTCTAGGCCCGAAATGTTCCCAATAGCTTTCAAGATGCTTGCAAAAGTGTAATGGTCAACAGTAAAGCCCGCCCGCTTCATTCTAGTAAAGCATGTGAAGGCTTCTCCACCGACTCCTAAATTAGAGAAACCAGCAATGACGGCATTCCAAGAGATTTCATCCCATTTTATAATGTCAGACCACAACTTTTGAAAATCTTCCAAGGTACAACTACACTCTGAGTGAACAGACAACAGTGTTACCACCAAGTAGTGGTTAGTGTTAAAACCTTGCTGAATTACATGACAGTGGACTTGCTCACAATGAACCAAGTAATCTGGGCAAGAAAATGAGCTCAACAAACTAGTGTACGTAACATAATTCGGTCGAATTCCCAACTTCAACATTTCCTTGAACAAAGTCATAGCCTGGAAAGGGCACTGCTTTTGGGCATAACCAGTAATCATGGAGGTCCAAGTAATAACATTCCTTTCAGGCATTTGATTGAAAACTCTCCTCGAAGTCTCAAGATCGAGACATTTTGAATACATATCAATCAAAACTGTCCCTACAACAAGATGCAAAGCAAAACCAGCTTTCCAACTCAAAGCATGTAACTGAGCCCCAAGTTCACATGCTTCTAACAGAGTACAACCAACCAAAACAGCTGAAACACTAGAAGGGGTTGGAGTAATACCCTCTCTTAACATTTCAAGAAACATTACAATAGCATTTTCAGGGTAATGGCTGTCTAAATAACCCGAAATCAAAGCATTCCAAGTTACCACGTTTCTTTCAGGCATTTCACCGAACAGTTGCTGCGCTACTGTTATAACACCGCATTTTCCATACATATCCACAAGAGCAGTGCTGATAAATACATTTGAATCGAAACCCATTTTGATAATCTGACAATGGGTTTGAATCCCAACAGTGAAAAGACCCCACTTTGCACAAGTGGAGATGATTTGATTGAGGCTAAATTGGTCACGTAGAAAACCATTTTGATGTAACTGAGGTAAGAAATCTAAATTAACGTTATTTGAGTCGTAATATTTGTCTTTGAAGCTTGGGTTGGTACAGTAAGCAAGATTATTTTCTGGGTATTTCACGAGGTAGCTATGTGTTGTTCTAACGTGGTAATAGATTTTGTTGGATAATTTTGCTTGTTTTCGTATGTTGTTGCACAGGTGAAATGCAGGTGATCTTAAAATCATTTTATGTCAAAAATCATTCCCTGTTTGAGAGGTTATCCTCTTTGACTTGGGCTATCGGGAAATACAGATAAATACATAATTGTTCATTATGTGCCTTTGCTACTGATTTAACCGTCTGTCATCATTAATCAAGGTTCATCTTGACCCTTGCCCGTATTTTTCGTGAAGACCCATACCCAAGAAGGAATTACCCCTCAAATCGGGTTAAGTTATATTTATTTAAGTTGACTTGGATCATAACTTTTGTTATATGTCGTCTTACATCCAACTTAGTGATGTTGAGTCTTCTAATGTGCAGGCCAATAGATGATACGGAGTGAAGAGAGGACGCTTGCGGAAGTTGTACATTGAGCTAGAAGATAATACATAACGATTAAGTCATTAGGATATAAGAGTAGATAGATGTTTCAAGGGTGTTCACTTAAGTCCCTTATCATTTAAATTAGATAGTTCCCTAAATTACATATTGGCCACTTAATTTTTCTTGTCTGATATAAAATAGGTCCTGCCCAGTTAGTTACTGATATGGCAGAAGGAGTCGCGTACACAACTTGTTTTACCCGAAAAATCGGATATAGTTGAATTTATAAGTAGTTCTAAGGATATGTGATATAGCCTAACATAAATCATACGTAGAAGTGGAAATGTTTGGATTCTTGGCTATAGATATGAGGTATAAATTATTGAACTAGAAGAATGAGTATGTTGAGTAAAAAAGCTTAAGAGATTTACTCTTCAACAAATAGAAGTAGTCTTGTCTTACAATGTGTCATCCTCTGTTTACAAGGATTCCCTCCTTTATAGTAGAGGGATCTTACTATTATTTACAATAAAAAATATATATAGTGGAGAACCCATGATGAATTGTCCCTTCCTCGATTCCTGCCAAGATTCTCCCCCCTAGTGCGGTTGCAACGGCTCCTGTCTGTGAGCTCGATACCAGCTCGAGCTCGATACTGACTCGAGCTCGAGGCTCGATACTGGCTCGAGCTCGATACTGGCTCGAGCTCGGTATTGGGTCGAGCCCTCGGCCTTGAGTTCGAGTTCAACATTCGGGGTGAGTGTCAATCGGCCTGTGCATTTCCGACAAGCTTCTCTTTGCCTTGCAGTTCGATTTTCTCTTGGGCTTGACAATGATACCGAGCCGATTCCTCGACCGGTCTCAGAGCTCGAGGCTTGTATGCACTATCCTCGGAACTCGTCTCGAGCTCTCACTTCGATGCGAAGGCCGAAATCTATTTCGACCATATACAGATAGTCCCCTCGTTTCTCAGGAAGAATATGGTGAGAAGCGATATGATTTTCGATGGCTCGATCGGATTTTAAGCTGACGTTCTCACTGGGCTCGATCGTGACGTATGTGATAGTTGTCCCATCGATTTAGTCTTTCAAGATATTTAATGCACGTCAGACGGTGGTCGGTCACCGCTGATACTGAACCGCCACGGCATAAACCTATAAATAGCCCTTCTATTTATCATTTTACTACTTTTACATCTTCAATCTCCCAAATTTTCTTACTCTTTCTGTCTCTATTTCGCCGCTTGTAAAGCCACCTTCATCAGCGTTTGGCACCATCAACCTTTCATCTTCCTTCGCTTTTCTTTCTCTTACATAAATGGCAAAAACTTCGAAAACTGTACCTCAGAAGGAGAAAGCTTCTTCTTCACGGCCGTCCGGCGACAAGGCGCCGACGGAGCCACCTCCCCATGAGTATATTCCTGGCTCGTGTACTCTGAAAATCGATTTTAAGGTTGAGAATCCTTCATCTGTTCCGGGTCGATGTGAGCATGTGTCGATGTACACGTGCTCGATAACGGAGGGTCATCTCGAGGATGTGAGGAAAGACTGCAACTGGGGTTCCGAGGTTGTGTTACAAATTCCCTCTCCCAAAGAGAGCGTCATCACTCATGTGGAGGGTTTTTTGAGTGTTTACACTTACCCCTTCACGTTGGGTCCCGTCGACCCAGTGATCATTGATTTTTGCAAGAGATATTAGGTCACCCACGGTCAAATTCATCCTTCTCTATGGCGTATAGTAACCTTACTTCGCTTCTTCTCCAACAAGGCCGGGGGGCTGGATTTTTCCCTGAATCACCTCATACGATGGTATCGGCCTCAAATCTTTCGAGGACTAATCAGGCTTCATCGTCGGGCATCAAAGGCTTTGATGTCGAGCATCGACGAAGATAAGGATCGGGGTTGGATGGGTTGTTATATCCGGGTGAGGACCCGTGACCTCATTCCGGAAGAGAAGATGTCGTTCCCCGAGGAATGGAATTTCTCCCGTACGTGGTTTTCATAAGTCGTTGCTTTTCTTATCTTTCTTCGATTTTATCTGATGTCTTTCTCCGATATACAGCTGCCTCTTGGATGCCACAAGCGGTACCCGACCTCGAGGATTTGGTTAGGAAGTTAGCCTCGACTTCCTCTTATGCCGAACGCGCTTGGCGTGATTGGCAAAAGGTAGATGAGAGGCCAAGAATCACGGTAAGTGTCACTTCTCGTGTTCTTCGAAATGTTTTTTAGGCTCCATTCATTACCGATTTCCTTTCATGCAGGTGTAACCAAAGATGCCGTTTTGAGGCTTATGCCGAACGTGCTTGGCGTGATTTGGCAAAAGGTAGATGGGAGGCCAAGAATCACGGTAAGGGTCACTTCTCGTGTTCTTAGAAATGTTTTTTATGCTCCATTCGTTACCGATTTCCTTTCATGCAGGAGTAACCAAAGATGCCGTTTTGAGGCCTTCGAGTGGTGAGGAAGGAACCAAGTCCCCGGTCCCGAAACCGGGGAATGATAAGAAGCGAAAAGCTATCTCTCGGTCAGAGGACCCCAAGCCCAAAACTCGAAGGGTGAGGAGGAAGGCAATCGCTCTTTTGATGGACTCGGTCCAACGACTGAGAGAAGAAGAAGAAGAAGATGATAATGCCTCGACTTTGGTGATTCGATCTGCGAGAGCTATCGAGGTCGCCAGACCTTCTGAGCCGATGGAGGCTATACCGGTCGGGGTCGATTCCGGTACCCCGAGTCTCGATCAGAGCATCCCGAGCGATTCGCTTGGGACTATGACAGTAGGTCATTTGCCTTCTCTTCCAACCTTTTCTGAGGAGGCGTTAAAGGAAGCTCGAGAATTGAAGACCCCCGATATGGGTGGAGGCTCTAGTGTAGGGGACCCTTTTTCGGGATTGCTTTACTGGAGTCGATGATGCCTCCGACATTGGTGACGCTTCCCTTCTCCTAGAAGAGGCCCAACGTTTCATTTCTCGGGTAATGATTTTACTGTGCTTGGTTTCTTCGTTCTTTTCTAAACTTGACTTGTGCTTTATTTTTTCCTACTGTGCAGGCCATTAGCAGGTTTCGAGTCGACCTCAGCTAGTGTGAGGTCGAGCTTCAGAAGGTCTCGGGGGAGAGAGATGCTCTTCGGCTTCTTTGCAGCCAAAAGGTCGAGGCTATAAAGGACCTCCAAGCAAATTTGTCTAAGGCTCGCGAAGAAGAGGCCGAGCTAGATAAGGAGGTGAGCCTCGTTCTGTTAGAGTATGGGTTTGACCCAACTGTGGAAGCTAACCCTTCGTTATCTCAGCTGCAGCAAAATGTGGAAAATATCGGGTTGCTTCGGGAAGAAGTCGATCAAATCAAGGCCGAATGTAACAAGTGGAAGGAGACTATCGACCGCCTGGCTGCAGAAAAAGAGACTATCTTGGCCAAATTATTATCGGCCAATGTTCAACTTCGAAGCGTCAAGCAAAAGGGTTCGGCTCAGGCCAAGAAGATCGAGGACCTTGAAACACGGCTTGCTGAGGCCAAGGCGGAGGTTGAGTCATCGAAAGTCATGGCGGACAAGTCCATTGCCGTGTATCGGGCTGATGCGGAGGCTGTTCAAATGGAGGCAAGAGAGGCAGCGGATACTGCCGACACTCGAGCACATTGGGTTGCCGAACTTGCTAAGTGTCGGTCTCGTAGGGAGACCCTTGATGAAATACACGCTCGAGGTTTCGACCTTGCTGAAGAGATAAAAAGGGCTAAAGAGCTCGAAGCTGAAGCTGAAGCCTTGGCTTCTGCGATGATGATGATGATGATGATGAAGGTAGCAAGAGCGGGTCCGAAGATGGGGGGAGCCCGGTGGAGAAGAGACCGCTCTCGATGATAATCCAAAAGCTTAGCCCTTCTATGTTGCATTCATTTATGTAAACCACCCTTGTATATCTATGCAAATATCCTTTTCTTTTATTGCCTTGCTTCGTGAAGATTTCATTCATGCCTTGTGGATGTTTTTATGAGGATTTAGGTGACTTCATCAAATTTGGCCTTCGTAGCCTTTATGGCCGAGTAAGTATTCGCTCGAGCTCAAAATAAAAGTAGCTCACAGGCTTAGTGGTCGAGTGAGTACTCGCTCGAGCTCGAGCTCGAAATAAAAGTAGCTCACAGGCTTAGTAGTCGAGTGAATGTTTGAACTCGAAGCAAGATAGCCTTTAGGCTTTGATAATTGAGTGAGTAATTGCTCGAACTCGAAGTAAGATAACCCTTAGGTTTTAATAATTGAGTGATTGTTTCGAACTCGGACTCAGAATATTTTAGCCCATAGGCTTTTTATGACCGAGTGAGTGATTGCTCAAACTCGAAGTAAGATAGTCCTTAAGCTTTAATTTGAGTGAGTGATTGTTTTGAACTCGAACTCAGAATAT